TTTGCTTGGTTTTATTTAATTTAATTAAGTGTATCTATCGTGTATCGTCGTAAAACTGTAGGTCCCTCCTCTTTGTGTGACAACATCAAGGCGCACGCCACAAATCGTATGAGAAGCTCGGCCCAACACTAACATATATGTAAGCGCCAATCTATTAGTTAGTGTATCTATTTAGTATATATATTCTTGATTTTACTTAAAGTTTCTATTTTTTGTTATTTTTTTTAATTTTGTTAAACTTTTTTTATGGTTTCAATATTTTTTTTTTTCATTTTTTTAATTGGATTTTTCTCCCTATTTTCCTTTGACTTGATTTTTTAATTCACCTTATTTTATTTTATTTTATTTTATTTTATTTTATTTTATTTTATTTTATTTTATTTTATTTTATTTTATTTTATTTTATTTTATTTTATTTTATTTTATTTTATTTTATTTTAATTTATTTTATTTTAGTTTATTTTATTTTATTTTATTTTATTTTATTTTATTTTATTTTATTTTATTTTTTATTTTTTATATGTATGTACATACTTACATACATGTGTATTTAGGTAATTTCATTTTATATTTTGTACCATTTCTTCAACAACAATTAGCGACTTCACACCAGCCAAACAAATTTTTTCTACACAAATGCCAGCTATTTGCGACCCCCTGGGCACACTCAAGAGGCATGGACGTCCACAGATTATAAGCGGGAACAAATGCGGTAAAAAGCCAGTAAAATGAACGGAGGAGAGAGAAAGAGAGGAAGCGAGTATGTAATCGCAGGAGCAAGAGCTCTGCAGTGCTTTGTTGCAAAACGAATGCCGGAAATGTATGCGCAAGCGCAAGCCCAAACCATGCGCAATTAATTTCGCAGATAGTGGCTATTCAAGGATTTAACTCTTTGCCTTTATTTTGAGCTTAACTAACTACTTGACTTAACAATTACTCGTTATACTATATTTATTTGCTGCTTATATATTTATTTATCTTTTTTTACTAATAGTTTTCTACTTTTCCCACACATGCGCATTCATGTTTATGTATATGCAAGTAGATTTATTTTACTATATACATATGTAGCGTACACATTCAAATTTATTTATACAAGTAGATATACCTCCTTGCTCGCTTGTGCCATCCACATAAGGAGCACTGAACTGGCTGTTGGAGTTCAACATTGACTCAATTTTTTTACTCTTTCTTCTAGTTTGCAACTTTTATATAGTTGTTGTTGTTGTGTTATGCCGTAGTTTGCTTGCCTGTGCACATTTTTGCTTCGTTGACTTTTACTTCGATGTGATGCGCACAGCCGGCATAGCAACTTTTTCGCCACATAACCGGTAGGCGTGTGCCCACAAAAAATGTTTGCCCGCACATAAGTATGTTTGCATGTGTGTATGTTTGTTTGTATATACATATGTAAGTAGGCGGCATTGCTCGCACACCTACAGCGCGTCCATTATGATATATTGTTTGCAACATTTGGCCATAATCAAGGCTGGTGCTGTTTGTTACAGCTGCTCGGCACTTCCTCTTACAGCTCACCTGCTCAGCGAATGCGCCAATTACTACATACATACATAACTACTTGCAGCTTCAGGTTGTTTGTATGCAAATGTTGCTATTCAAAATTTAATAGCAATGCTGTTGCTAATATTTCTTTACTTCAATTTTCTTCTTAATTTTTCTGCTGAATTTGCATAATTTTGCACTACAGCGGCACAGAGCAAACGAAATGAGAGAAAATGTGGGTAGAAAACAATTAAATGCTGATGTAATAAATTGTAAGTGAGTGTATTAAAAAACTGTAAGATAAAAATATAAATTAGAAAATGGCTTTTGCGAAAAAATTGTTGTTAATTGGCATTTCTAGTCACATAAATACGAAACAAATCGTAAGTAGCTAAAGGCCAACTTACAATAAAACAATAAATAAATGGCAACCCTATGCGAATTTTTCATTGTGGAAATCAGAATGCAGAATTTACCGCAAATAACAAAAATTTGATTGTAATTTTTTTACATAAACAAATTCTAAAACAAATGTAAAAAAATAAAAACGTATAAAATCATATAAAAACTTATTTTTATTTATTCTAGTCTCTTTAACTTTACTAAAAAATTAAAAATAATTTATTTAAAAATTTTTTATTCACCCAGTTGCACATTTTATACAAAGCCTTCCTCCGAAATTTGCATATCTAAAAATTTTATGTACGTAAGTTTTATATGCTTAATTTTTAGTGAAGTATACCAAACTTCTTATTTTTTTATAATAATATAAATTTATTTTTGTCTCCAAACCAAATCTGACAAGGACTGGCGGACATTCGTTCCAAAGTAAATCCATCAATTTCACACCTGTTGCATTAATTAACAAAAATCAGATATATTTTTTTCCTTTAAAATGCATGAAGAAAATTTAAAATTGTATTTTAAAAATTAGTTAATTAATTTTTTATTTTTTGTTTTTTTTTCTATGGCTAACTTAAAATTATCGTGTTTTATTACAAAAAAAAAATCTTCTCATGAAACTAAAAATTTTGCTAGTTTTTAATTAAAATATTGTAATTGAAATTTCAGCACAGTTTATCAACTATTTTTCTTTTTGTGTTTTCTAAACGAAAAAGCCTATTGCAAAGTTTCTACGGCATGACAACAAATTTGTATAATTTAAAAAATGGAAACGAGTTTACCGTCTGCAGTTCTCAAGAAAAATCACAACAAATATTTTTTCATTATTTCTGTTGCTAGAAAAAGTACTTTGCTGTAAATTTTATTGAAAAAATAAATATGTACTTATACGAGCATTTTTTTCTTGAGAGCTATGTACATACTAGAGCTCTCGATTTTGTTCGCACATTTTCAAACAGCCCGGGTATATGAGCAGCGAGTACTCGCACACTTGCTCAATGCTCATTACTCGAAAATTTTCGAGCATGAGCTCGAGCAATTCGAGTTTTTTTCGAGTAATTTGAGCAATGTTTTTTTTATTATATTGTCATTTTTGGTAGCAACTTTTTAAATTTTTCAAATTATTGATGTATAATGCAAAGATTGTTACATTGGTATTTAATAATATAATTTATTTAACATGAATTAGAAAGCAGCTGCTGACAAATACAATTTCAAAAACTCGCATTTGAGCAGTTGAGCAATGAACGATTTTCGAGCGAGTATCGAGCTACTCGCATTGCTCGATACCCGGGTATCTAGAGCTCTAGTACATACTGATTTAAAAATTTTTGATAGGTAAAAATTTGTTTTCTATTTCCACTGCGTCGTTTTATATGCATTTTTCGTTTTTTCTTGAGAACTGTAGACAGGCCTTAGTTTTATTAGACCTTCGTCATTAAATTTTTTTATCATTTAGAGTCCAGTGGAAACCCAATATAAGACTTTTGCCATACATTTTTTCCAAAATTTCTAGATTCCAATTTTTTGGAAGTTTTTGCAGGTTTCAAATCTATTTACAAAACAAAATTATTATAATTTTTTAATACGACATTGGAGATCTCTTTAGCTTATAATTTTCCTTTTTTCCATTTATTTTTTTCTGCATTATATTTAAACATTTTTATTTTGTTCAAACGTTTTTTAAATAAATTATGTCTCCTCATGAAATAATTTTTGCATCACCTGTTAATAGCATTTTTTCATTTAATGTAATTCACAAATTTTCGGTTTCTTGTTTGTAGTTAATAACATACTCAAATAAATGTATTAAATTATGTAAAAATTTGCAATGTGCACTTCATAATTTTTGGCTTTCATATCAAATTTTTTATTTTTTTTACTTATATTTCATTTTTTCTAACTTTTTGCAAAAATCGTATAAATTTGATGAAAATTAAAAAAAAAAAAAAACAATTTATTTCATAGAATTTTTTTAATACTAAATTTGAAGCTTCAAGTCTTACAGAAATTTACTGCCTCGTCTCATTTTCGACTAACTTTTGATCAATTACGTTGCAATCGTCTCGGTTGCGTTTAAACCGGCTAGAATGATGCCGTCGGACTAACTTTTGAAGCATTCCTCTGCAGACGAATCGTTCGTGATACATAATAAGACTGTTAGGTTTTATTTTACATTACTTAGCTTTTTTAAATTTGATATTATTTTATTTTCTTTTTTGATCAAAAACTTGTTATTACCTAATTTAAATTTTTTATTTCATATTTTTTAACTTTATTTTGTTTTTTGTTTTGTTTTCATTTTTGATTTCTCTTATTTAATTTTTTATTTAATATAATATTTAATATAATCAATTTTATATACATATATATATTTTTTTAATAAAAATTTTGGGATTTCTTTAATATAGCTTTAATTGGTTTTACTTATTTCTTTTATATTTGTTTTCAAAATTTTTAAATATATTTTTTGCTATTTTTAAATATATTTTTTGCTATTTTTATTTTTGAATTAATAAAAAATATTTGCGTTTGGAAAATTTAAGCAAAATCTATAAAAAAATCCACTGAAACTTACATATATTATTTTTTTTACGCACATATACATGTACATTAGATCTTACCACCCCTGCCTCTAGAAATATTTTTCCAAGGCAGTTTAGAAAAAAATTTGGCCGAACCTAGATGCTTCCTTTTTAAATTATTCGGTGCATCTACATTCGGCAATAAATTTTTTTATAAATAGTTCTACTAGAATAATCAACCAGAACAGGGTAGTTGAGGTCAATAAACTTTGAACAAAAATATTGTATCCTTAATCCGAAAAGTTCGATATATCATACTTTAAGATCCGACTGTATAGGCCGAAAATATGATAAAAAACCCTACGTTCGACAAAAAAAGCGAAAATTACCTTGCAAAAATACTTTAGATTCAGAGGAGTACGGCGAACGTTTTTTCCCGATACCATCTAGTGTACATATATAAACTACCATATGTACATACCTATGTAAATATTTTCCTAACTATTTTTGCGTTTCTTAAGTGGAAGATACATTTTTGGATTTCATAACCTTTGTTTTTAATTTTCTTACCCATATCCAATGGATATTCATGTTGCGCGAATAGTATTCCTCCGATTTCAAGTACGAAATGATATTCAGCTTTTAGTGGCGATTTAAATGTTTTTATTAAAATCACAGATTTGTTTGTCAACTCAAGTTTGGGTTTAATATATTTTTTCTTCCTTCAAGTCACAAACTTTTATTTTATTTAATTTTCGCAAAACTTTTCTACAGCACCTTGTGTGGTTATCCCCAAACACCACGGTGTCAGGGAATTATAAATTTCTTTTTCCTTCTTCTTACTTGTTTTTTATATATATTTTTAATGTTTGCTTTGCACACTCAACTTCAAGCACCTTCTCACAACGATCGCTCACTTTCTGCTACTGCTGCTATTGTCACTGTTGATGTTTGCTGTGTGCCACCAAACGTTGCACGAACGTCACGTCACTCACTATGCCCACCGCTACCACTGCATTTGGCTTATATACCACGAATGGAGTGGGCAGTCAAGCGATCAGCTGATTGAGTCGTGTAAACTCTTTCCATGCAGCTGAGCGCATCACTTTGAGAAAAATTGTGGTGAGTGCAATGTGAATGAGTCTCTATTGGCTATCTATGCGTTGAAGTAGTGTTTTGTGTGGCTTCAAAAGCATTTGACCGGTAACCGGCAATTATATGCAATCTGCATATTCACCACAGCAGCGTGGTGTATTAAGATGTGCAAGCAGCGCGGAAACTGGTTGGATCAAAAAAAAGATGCTCCACTCTGATTTGGAGGTGTTGCTGCGGTGTGGCGATTTATTAATGTTGTAATCGCTTATGCGGTCACAAGATCAGTTAGCGTGTGTGTGTGTGTGTGTGAACGCATATGTATATGAGATTATTTTGAAATTTAAACAATAACGGTCGGTTCAAGTTCAAAACGATAAAAAATAAATATTTACACATTAGATATGCGTACAAAAGGTTTTTTGTCCAATCGACAGAGTACCTTTCATTTTTTTCTACATTCACACAATGCAGGGGCGAATGACTTGCATTAAGCCATTAATGACTGCTTCTTTTATAAAATCTTAAGAAACTAACTCATCCAAAATTAAAACTTCGATTAATTGAAGGGTGATGGATTTTGGACTGGCGCGTGTGAGATCGAAGCCAGCGCCTCGGACATTAAAGATAATTTTTCTAAGCGTCTTCTGCAGAGATGGAAGAATCAGGTCTAGCAGCCGCTGGCATATCTTACTTATCTTTGCGTCCCTTAACGCTTTTATCAGAGTAGTTTGAGGGCAGTCCGCTGTCTCCGATGACTGCTGGACGGAACTCCGCAGTGCAGGATCTGTCTAAATCTGGGGTTTTTTGGTGCCACAAGTTAATCGTAAGCCACGGTGACTCTAATTGAAACTGTAGGTTGACCGCTATCAAGAGTTCAGACATCCATCGGCGTATGCAATACCTAATTGGTTTTGTGTTTGTAAGTCAATTTGCGGACTTTCTCTCCAGCTCGCCAGACCGCTGTGTCTCAGACAAAATCCCGATAGCATAGCTGGCTCAGCGAGAACACTGAAACTGAACTGCTTTCTTCTCCCAACTCGGCTAATGTCAGCCAAATCTACAGCAGAAGGCATGACCCCATTTACATATAGTCAGTTAGATATTAGCTGCTTCCAATCCAAGTAGTATAGACCCTGCAGATGAAAGGCACCCCAAGGGAAGTGAAAACTGTCGATAATATCTCAGTTAATACTTAAAGCTTGTCGAGTTTAAATGTCTCCACTCTGAAATGAAATGAAATACGGCTGTCAAAAATATCATCTCTAAGTCTTATAGCAACGACTGAGTTATACCAAAAACGAAAAATTAGCCGCAGTGAAAACGATAATAGAAAACATTAAAATAAAGTTACTCAAATCGATAACTTTTTGGATATCGATAACATTTATTTTCACATAACACTACATCAAAACTAACGGCATAGATAGTGATATTGATTACTACATATATTGATGTCGATAACGATAATTTGCAAGATATCGATAAACGTAAGTATATTAATTATATTAGCGATATTGGTAATAGCAAAGATGGCAACAATTTGTCGATAAAGTTTAAATCGATAACCATAATGATATAATTACTTCGGTTAAAGAATACATACATACATATATACATATTACGATAACTATGGAAATAGATAAAAGAAAACAATATTTATCGAAGTGCATAAACGATAACAAGTTCGACATCGATGATAAAAAGATAATGATAACATAATAATAACTATATTTTGGCGTTACACATTTTCTAAGTGCTTGGCCGAGCTTTTCCTTCTATTTGTGGTGTGCGTCTTGAAGCTGATAACACGATTTACAACAGCTAATAACAGTCATTAGGCTTTTTTACTGATTCTATGACCTAGAAAAATTTCAGAAGTCGCTAATAACTTCAACTTATTTTTCATGACAACATTTTTCTAAAACTTTTTCATCAGAAAATAAAAAATTTATTTTTTAGTCCCTCATAAAGAGCAAGTGTACCATTGAACTTTAAAAATCACGGAAAATCAACGAAAATCTCAGAAAAACTGGCGAATTACAGAAAATAATCCGAAAAGAAGAAGTTACGAAAAAAAACTTACAAACAAAAAATACCGAAAAGCTCAAAAAAAATCCTGAAAATTATGAAAATAAATGATGATATGAAAAATAAACTTGAAAATTTACAGAAAATCAAATTTTACACAATCCAGAAAAACCAACAATTCCCAACACTTTTCTGGAACTTTTCCAGCAGAAAATTAAAAATCGATTTTTTAGTACCTCATAAAGAGCCCCAGAAAAACTGGCAAATTTCAGAGAAAATCCGAAAAAGGAGTTACAAAGAAACTCGAAAAAATACCGATCAGTTTTAGGAAACCCGAAAAATCATGAAAATCCAAAGCAAACTTGAAAATGTTTCGAAAAATAATTCTCAAAAAACCCAGAAAAATAAAATTTTCTGCATTCCATAAAAAAGTCAAACAATTTCCGAGCAGGGAAAAAACAAATTTCATTAATAAATGAATCAAAAATTACCAGTTATTTCCCGCTAAAACACATCAAAAAAATTTTTTATTGCATTTTTGCGAATTGCTAATTAAATCCATTGGCTATACTGCAGCAGAATTATTTAGTTGTCAGCGAAAAATAAAAAAATAAAAAAATTTAATATTTTAGTCAACACCTCTGAATTAACAACAAATCCGAGACCACTTTTAAAATTAGCCTTCGTGAAGCCATTGTTAACAAAATATTTGTATCATTCGACACTGCTGATTAGACATACGTATGAAGAAAAGAAGAAGGAGAAGAAACTATGATCAAAAATATGAATAACAAAAGCAAACATGTGTGTGAGAAAATCATTTAAAATCAAAGATGCATAATAATAAAACATATACTCACACACACACACAAGCACACACACACACACACAGCAATGTGCGCATGAAAAAATGCGAATAAAATATTTATTGCCGCCTTTGCAATTTTAGACATTTCAAATTCAGTTCATTTAAAAACTAAGCCAAATTTTACTATTATTTTTTTCATTAAAATGCCAAAGCTTTCAATATTTGCCAAATACATACATACATATGGGCTAAGAAATATGTACATATGTATGTACTTCCATTGAGGTACTCATATCAATGCTGGCGCTTATTGTGGCACTTATTTATGCTCCGGCGGTGAAGATGTTCGGTGATTGTGTTTCCATTGTTTTGAAAAATCAGAAAAAAAAAACAAATTTATAATGTGTTTGAAAATTGAATAAAATGGTAATAAAAAACCATATATGCATTCGTATAGAAAAAGTATGAAATGAAGGCACTATATGAAGGCCAACTATTTACATTACAATATAGATATGTATATAAAAAATTTAAATAATTTTTGAACAAGATTTTTTAGATATTCCTATTGAAAATTGTATGCTGTCAAAATGTTTAATCTCCTTCTCAATTGCTCTACTTGCAGGCGGCACATGTATGTATGTAACTGCTAAAATATGAAAGACTTAAGGCGCGAACTTGCTCTGTTAGCGATTAGTGAAGTATGTATGCACATTTTTTTTCTTTATTGTGTTAACATTTATTCAATGTCATATTTTGTTAAAAATCACAAAAATAAGATTCTGAAATTAAAATAAAAAATACACAACACATTTGCAGGTGTTGCTTTCTAACTTTCAAACGCATTTATGCATTTACGCATTTATAAGAAATTCATTTAGTTATTTAGGAGATTTTTCCTAAGGGTTCCCAATTAATTTTTTTAATTTTTGATTTCTTATCTCCAGTTTTTTTTAGGAAATAATTCTTTTTAAACTATTTTTATCAAATAATTCTCTTTGAGGTTAAATCTTTTTAATGCACTCGAAAAATCCGTAGATGTAGGTTTAAACTTTCTAACGCATGCTTGATATGAATTCGTTCTATTTACAAAAATTTTGCCATTGGGTTGCTAATTCATTTTAGTTTTTGATTTTTTTCTGCAGTTGTCTAAAAAATGGTTACAAAATAAATTTTTTTTTATAAAAGTTTCTTTTTAGTTCTGCCAAATGCGTTCCTTTAGTTGAGATATTTTTTTAATTTAGTAAAAAAAATCCGTCAACCTCGCTTTTAACTTTCTATTACATAACTGATTAGAAACGCTTCTATTTACGATATTTTTTGCATGGGGTGCCCAATTTTTTTTTCAATTTTAATTTTTTTCTCTGCAATTTTCTAAAAAATAATTGTTAGAAAATAATTTTTTTTATAGAACTTGCTGTAAGTTTTGTCATATTACATATATACAATCTCATAGATTTTACTTCTCAATATGAAATTCACCTAGTTATAGGATATTTCGCATAGAGTTGCCACTTTTCACTAGTTTTAATTTTTTTCTCTACGGTTTTCTAACGCGTATTTGTAGGGAAAGCAATTTCTTATAAAATTTGATTTGGTGGTTGCCATACGCAATTATTTTTATTTTATTTTTAACTTTTATTATTTTTTTTGGAACTTGACTACCCACACAAATTTGACATTGAATTCTTGCTTGTACAGGGCTTCCATATTTTTATTTTTACATATTTTTTTATTTATTTTAGAACTTTTTTTATTTGTTTTTATTTAAATTTATCTCCAAATTTTCTAAAATACTGGAGTGTAAGCTACGAAATTTTGTAAGAGGGTTTCCCATTTTTTGTAGATTTTGTTGCTTGTCTCCATTTTTAATGAATTGCTTAGAGAGAAAAAAAAAGTTGTATTAATAGTTTGAAATATAACGGTTTTTACAATTTATCGATATTTCGATTTACTCATCGATGCACCATGCGCATATGTACTTTAAACCTTTCACTTTGTATTGCCCTGGAAGTTAACAGCTGTCAGAAGTTCAAAATATTACTAATAG